GGTAACAGATTCTGAGACTAAGCCAAAACCACAAGCATGTGCTGGAGGAAGCATGCCCATAAATCCACAACCATACTCGAGAGGAAGAGAGCGCCTCCGGGGAGATCTCTTCTCTTGCTAAGTTTCAAATGATCCAACAGTCTCATTGGGGAACCTTTTTTTGCCATTACTTTCTATTAGTTTTCAATTATTAATTTGCGGCGTGTTTAAAATTCTCCCTAAATTAACTTTCTATAATGGATACTTAATGGCGTGCAGAATAATTGCTGTAGCGGAAGAAAATAGATCTCAGCACATCGGGAGCCAAAGAAGTTGTCATCTACTCTAGGCTGTTTAAATGTTCTTAGGCATCTGAACCTCAGGCTCTTTACCTAAGGGTTTAGCCTGCTACATATTTAGCAAAAGCACTGAAGCCCACAGACACTGTTTCTGCTAGTAAAGAATGACAATAATGAAACATCCATTATAAGTCAATTTCCCCACAGGGGAGCCATGAAACCACAATTAAAGTGAAATCATTAGAATGTTAAGTATAGTCATTCACCATCGTAATTCAATAAGCAACACAGCTGATGGATGTAGCAGAGGATACTTACAAGGCTATTCATTTGTCCTGTATCTCTGTTTGCACATTAAGGAGCTTTTAAGTGGAAATAAAACTTAATAAATAAAAAGTTTTACATGAAGAGGAATGCAGTAGTATAGCTGAATACACCAAGAACGCTACGTTTTTTGAAGGCTGAGCTAATGTACATGACGAGGCCTGAGATATCCACTCGTGAAGACCAACCAGAGTCAATACATCCTGTGACATGTTAGACTTACACACTGCAAAGGTGCCAAAAAGGGTTCTTCTGAGAACCCAGATGTTTCCTAAAAGAAACATTTTTGCAAAGGAAATCTTTTTACAGTTTAAAGTGTATGGAATCTATGGGGAATTCCACTATAATTCTGTATAATTCATTGGCTGAGATGTAAACAAAGTCATGCAGAGTTATTTGATGCAGAATAGTTCACTGTGGAGAAACTTAGCCGGTCAAATTTCTTTACAGTGGTGGTGATAGGAACCATATAAAAAGTAATATGTGGATTTGATTGAATCCAAATTGGAATCAGACTTGGTTTTCTATGAGTTGTCTTAGAAATATGTCTTGGCAGCAGCTCACGTTAAATGGAAATTTCAAAGATTTTTTTAAAACTACTGTATAATTCAGTAGTTGAGACATAAACAAAGTCATTTAGAGTGCTTTGATGTGGGATTCCTTAACAGTGGTGGTGAGAGGCCCCAGGGGTCACATGACTACAACACTAATATAGCCATTTTATGTTCTATCCAGAACCACCAGTGAACCTACATGTGTTGTTTGAATTTATATATGTAATGTTGATGATGATAAAAGAGAAAATATGGAAAAATAAGGTTTCTTTTGGTACTTACAATGAATGTATAAGTAAAAAAAGTACGTTTTAGTCCAAAAGACTATCTCAGAACTATCATAAGACAATGTGTCAGGCATCAGGCAGTGTAATTATAAGCAGTTCATGTAATAACTTTCTGTGATGGAGCTTTTATAGCCATTTAATTCTTCAGATCTCTGGTTCCTATCACCACCAATGTGAACAACTCTGAAATGAAGCATTTCACACCAAACCAAACCACATTGTACATCTAAGCCAAGAGCCATTTAGAAACCTTTATTTCTAACCATGTAAAATCATCTAAAGGACTAAAAAGGATAGCGGTAGCGTGTTTAGTATTCACAAAGGCTTCACTGGAGTCACACTGTGTAGAAAGCGAGAATGCCAGCCTATATTCTCAAATGCAACTTTGAAAAAAATTCTGGGTGTTTTTGACGTGCCGGAGCCTGGGAGTACTGAAGGTCGTCTCTCATCGCTGTAGAAGTGGAGCTCTGGATATGTAAATGTTCTGTCTCCTCTTGGCACGTCTCTTTCTCTCTTCAGTATTGGCACTCGACAGTTTTTTTTTATTTATTTTTTTTGCTCCAGTCAGCTCCGAGCTATGGCAACAGCAGAAGTTTCAATTTCACTGCAGGACAAACTCAGCTGAATCCTGCCAATTTGCATGACAATTATTCATGCAGTGAAACCGGATTCCTCCCCCAAGACTCAGTCAGCATTTTAATGCACGTATGAAGTGAACTGTGTTTTTCTTTCTTTCTTCCATCAATGTAAAGACCACCAAGTGTAGAACAAGCCAGCCAAAGTGAATTAAGCTGCACATGATATGACACACTGAACGCTGGATGGCAGAATTCAGTGGTTCGTCAGTTTGTAGCTTTAGTCATTAACTACTCCCACGCGTGTAAGTCAGCTTACATAGACACTTATCTCAGGGTTCAGCTCGGTATTTCCTTCATAAGTCAATATACACTCGTAAAAAAGGTACCACAACAGGTTCTTTGAACGGTCGTTTAAAGAACCTTGTTTGAAAGAAGATTTCTGAGTGTGAAGAACCGTCTAACAATGTAAAGGTTCTACACCAAAAGCAGGATTCTTCCTAGAACTTTTACACTATATGAAGGTTATTTAAACTTTAAAATATGTTTGTAGGTAAAAATCTGGTGCACACCAAATACTATCAGGTGAGCACCCAATACTATCAAGTGAGCACCCAATACTATGCGGTAAGCACCCGATACTATCAAGTGAGCACCAGACACTATGTGGTGACCACCTGATACCATGTGGTGAGCACCTGATACTATCAAGTGAGCAGCAGACACTATGTGGTGAGCACCCGACACTATCAAGTGAGCACCAGACACTATGTGGTGGGCACCTGATACTATATGGTGAGCATCTGATACTATCAAGTGAGCAGCAAACACTGTGGTGAGCACCTGATACCATATGGTAAGCACCAAAAACTATCAAGCGAGCACCAGACATTATGTGGTCAGCCCCTGATACTGTATGGTGAGCACCCGATACTAATCGAAAAAAATGTATGCATATATGTATTTTTTTCGATTAGTATCTGATGCTCACCTGATAGTATCAGATGCTCACTTAATAGTATAGCACACCAGATTTTTACCTAAAAAAAATGACACCACATCCCCTTTACCTAAAACAAAAAACACACCATGTCCCTTCAGGGGCTCTGTACTTTTACAAAAATGGTTCTCTAAAGAACCATCCATTGGAAGTTTTTTGGGAGAACCAAAAGTAGTTCTTCTATGGATCCCACAAAGAATCCTTTTTAGCACCTTTAGTTTTAAGAGTGTAAACATACACTATCAGCATCATATTTGTGGTGCTATGAAGAACCATTTTTGTAAAAAAAAAAGGTCTCTAGAGAACAATAGTTTTTCCATCATAAAGAAGAACCATTTATCCCTTCAAAGAATGAAGGTTTGCACATTCACATGGTTCTTTGAGTGAGTAATAGTTCTTTATATAACCACTGCTTTGACAAAGGAACCCCTGAAGAACCATTTTTTAAACATGTACATTATTTATGTTGCACAGTAGTAACCAAACACCTAATACTGCTTATTAACAAGGTCATTCCACTGTCAAACCAATCAATATATTTCAGTTCCAAATCAATAAATTCAATGATCTTGACAGCCTGTTTGCTTCAGTAATGCATTTCTGCTGCTTTATTCATGTTTGCAAATTAAAATATAATAAATTAACATTTTCTTCTAAAAAATATACAAAAATACTGTCAAACTTTCCTAGAAAGCCTCAACACAGTAGTATTGCCATGTATCGCATACTAGATAAGCACAGTGGTGTATCTATAACTGATGAAGGTGATAATCCCACATGGCCTTCCTTTAAGAACATTCCAGACATTTGTTTTTAATGTCCACTCACAAAAAGAGCAGAACAGGGCAGTGGACATTCAATACAGCGACGTCTTTTCCCACGTTTTCCCCCTTAAGACATTTCTTCCCATACTTTTTCAAAATATCTCTCACCATTTGATACCATTGTACCAATTTTAGCACGAAGCATAGAGCACACCTACACACGCACAGATCACTCCCACAGTTTTTTTCCTCTCTCTCTTCCTTTTCTGAAACTTTTCAGCAATATTATGGAGGAGCAAGGTCTCTGAGTGATCGCAGCTGATAGATCAGACGGTCAGGAAGCTGGAGAGAAGACAGGTAAACGAATTGAAACTCCCACCCATGGTCTGACGAGTCATTGAACAGCATAGATAATCGTGTAAATATTATGGCCACTGAAGTTTAAAGTACATCGCTGACTGGGACAATTACACTGGACTGGTCTACAATCATGTTACATAACCACCTACATCATGATGCACCCACAGAAGTTTGATATGACTCCAGGTCTCTCGTTCGAATGACACAGGAAAAAAGAAACGACCAGAATGCACAAGTTGGGATTCATTTTTTTTTCGGGTTCTGTTGTCTCTGCTACAAATCAAAAGATGCTGAATAAACATCTCATGGTTTCTAAGCTTCCATTGTCTTCTCCACACTCCGCGTGTCCTGCATGACTCGGGACCTGGTGTCAAAAAGCCTGTGTTGTCCTGCACGACCTGATGGGGGTGTCCCTTAGCCAAGAAAAAAAAGGGTTTTTGAGGCATGCACCCCTGATGCCAAACTCATTATCACTTCTCCAACATGGCCTCACGCGGAAGAGGAAAAATAAATTCTTAATCACTTTTAGAGTTTGAAATTGATTAAAAAAAAAAAAAACTAAACTAAATAAAAAAAGCAGAAAAAAATTAATGATCAAAACTGAAATAAAAGTTAAAATAAAAAAACTAAAAAACAAAATAACTAAGAAAGTAGCAGAACTATTAAAAACAACACTAAACAAAAAGAAAAAGCAGAAAAAAACTGTTAAAAAAATAAAAGATAAAATTAAAAAATAAAACAAAATAAGTGAAAAATAGCACAGCTATTAAAAACAAAAGTAAAAATTAAAAAAATAAAATAAAAATAAAAAAAAACAGGAAAAACAGTTAAAAAAGTAAAAACTGCAAGGCAGGAATGTCAGATCCTTAAAAGAAGTGAAGAATAAAATAAAATAAACCGCTAGTTTCTAGAATATCAGGAGAAAGCCAGGGATGTGTTTTTTTCTTTAAAGGAGAAAAAAAAAACAGCGTAGTATAAAAGTCCCCCCCTTTTCCACGGAGACATTAGCAGCTCACTCGGCTGGGCTGCTGTTTGCACACGAAGTCCGTCATGAAGTCGAACTCGTTCTGGCCCAGCCAGAGCTCGGGCAGCTCCTTTATCCTGTCCAGACCCATCTCCACCACCAGCGCCATCAGCACCTCCTCGTCGATCAGGTCCGTGTCGATGACGCTGTGGGCGGCGGGCAGCTGCTGAGGCTCTCTGCCGGCCGCCCCGAGCCTGGCCCCCGCGTCCCGGAACCCGCCCTGCAGCTCGTGCGGGTAGTGGAGGAGGTGCTGTTGGTGCTGCTGCTGCTGCTGCTGTTGGTGCTGCTGCTGCTGGTGCGGGTGGTGGTGGTGCTGCTGGCTGTAGTACTGCGTGTTGAGCTTCTGCAGCTGCATGCTCGCCGCCAGCTGCCCCTGACCGCCGGTGGCCACGAACTGCGAGGCGAAGCGCGCGGGCGCCGCCACGCTGCCGCTCGGATGCCGAAGCCCGTGGCTTCCGCCGCCGCTGCCGTAGTGCATGGGCTCCAGCAAGCCGTTACTGTAGCCGTGCTGCTGCTGCTGCTGCTGCTGCTGCTGCAGGGGGCTGGAGAACTGTCCCATTCCCATCCTGCGCTGCTGCTGCTGCTGCTGCTGCTGCTGGTGGTGATGGTGGTGGTGGAGACCGTTCACAGCTTCGGGGAATCGGCCATGGTTCATTGCCATCATGCGGTCGACCATTCCCCCCCCCTGCGAACCGGGAGACGAGCGGGCGGAGGACACTCAGAGGCGCGCGAGGCGAGAGGGGCTCAGACAGAGAACTCCATCTCCGCAAAATAAAAAAAAAAAAAACACCACCCGAACTTTCAGCTTTTCCTCGGATCACTTCGGGAACAGACAGCCTCGCATCGAGACGAGCTGCGGGGGGAAAACCGCTTTAACACGAGCTGCGGGAGCCGTGAAGAGTTGAATGAGGTCAAAACGCGCAATAAATCTCAAAACTGGCGCAAAACTTCGCCGCTTTTCCCTCCTCCTTCGCTCAGAAGTCAGATAAAACAACTCCAAGCGACTGACAAGCCGTAATCCAGCGAACGCGCTGCTGATGTCCGAAACGCTCCCAACGTCCGCGGCGGAAAAACGCACCAAAAAACACACGCACTGCTCCCAGCGTCCCTCAGCCCCCCGCTCATATACACACGGTCGGCAAGGCGGGCGGAGCCAAGCCAGGCTCGAGGGTGACGAGACGGGTTCTGTTTTTTTTCCTCGCCCGCATTCAGACAAGCCACGCCCCGCTCGCGCTACGATTCGTCACTGGCTTATCCTCGCCGACGCGGCCTCGTGCGCTGAGATTGGCTGCTTCACACTCACTGCTATAAATACGAACTGTCAGCCAATCCCAGAGCGGCGAGGGACGGGTCTTGTCGGAATACGGGTAGGGAAAAAAATAAGCCCGACGAGACCAAAACGTGCTGAACGTGGAGTTGAGACGTACGAGCGAGTCCGCGGAGCAACAACACTGAGCATTACCTCACTGCGGCTATTTCTGTTTGAGGCAACAGCGGGAAAACGCGGAGTCGCCTTTCAGTGAGGCGGTGGCGTTTAACAACAGAGAAAGGGTTGATGAGTTGATGACACCGAAGTTCCTGCTAAAGCCTGAGTAGACTGATTAATCAATGTGATCAGTTATTAATCTCAGTGTTACTGAGCTCTGCTAAAGCCTGAGTAGACTGATTAATCAATGTGATCGGTTATTAATCTCAGTGTTACTGAGCTCTGCTAAAGCCTGAGTAGACTGATTAATCAATGTGATCAGTCATTAATCGCAGTGTTACTGAGCTCTGCTAAAGCCTGAGTAGACGGATAAATCAATGTGATCAGTTAGTAATCCCAGCGTTACTGAGCTCTGCTAAAGCCTGAGTAGACTGATAAATCATTGTGATCAGTTATTAATCTCAGTGTTACTGAGCTCTGCTAAAGCCTGAGTAGACTGATAAATCAATGAGATGATCAGATATTAATCTTAGTGTAACTGAGCTCGTACAAGCCAGGTTGCTGAGCAACAACACTGAACATTACCTCACTGCAGCTATTTCTGTTTGAGGCTACAGCGAGAGAACACAGAGTCGCCTTTCAGTGAGGCGCCGTCTTATAAAAACAAATAGAGACCAGTGAAAAGGATGATGACTTTGTAAAATGTCCATCTAATATTGTTAATTCTAAAGTTCTGTACCGTTTGGTGGAGAAGAGGCTTCAGTCGGTTGACTCGCCTTTAGCAGTTGGACGGCTCCACACTAAGCACAGTTTAGGGGGTAAACAGAGAGGATTAGCCTACTCAAACTCAGTTTAATTAAGAAGGAAAACTCAGTGAACCCGGAGGAAGTGCAGCTCTCCTTTGAGCAAAGCCTGGCTTCAGGAGTTATTTACATAAGGCTGTTCGCTTAGTGTTTCAGTTGGAGGTTAGTCAGGCCTACAGCTACGTCTCTGTTTGACATGAGACCGTTACAGAACGCTGGGTGTCTTAAGGGTTTGGTTCGCCAATAATTAATAGAGAAATCTAACTGGCAATTTGTTGGTGGTGTGTTTGTGTGAGCTATAATGAACTGACAGAGCTGTATGAGAATGTAGGGGTGCAACATATTCTGAATACAATCTGTATTCAATCTGTACTCGGTCCAAATTACATGTTGGAAAGGCAGTATTTAGAATAGAGCTCAAAAGAAACACCAGTGCTTATTTATAAACATGCTGACTAGATGACCTGTAAAGAGGACCTCAATCAATGGCCTCTTTACAAACACTGAAGTTCTGTCTAAAGCCTGAGTAGACTGATAAATCAATGTGATCAGATATTAATCTCAGTGTTACTGAGCTCTGCTAAAGCCTGAGTAGCCTGATAAATCAATGTGACGATCAGTTATTAATATCAGTGTTACTGAGCTCTGCTAAAGCCTGAGTAGATTGATAAATCAATGTGATCAGCTATTAATCTGTGTGTTACTGAGCTCTGCTAAAGCCTGAGTAGATTGATAAATCAATGTGATCAGCTATTAATCTGTGTGTTACTGAGCTCTGCTAAAGCCTGAGTAGACTGATAAATCAATGTGATGATCAGTTATTAATCTCAGTGTTACTGAGCTCTGCTAAAGCCTGAGTAGACTGATTAATCAATGTGATCAGTAATTAATCTCGACTTTAGCTGTTGGACGGCTCCACGCTAAGCACAGTGTGTTACTAAGCTCTGCTAAAGCCTGAGTAGACTGATTAATCAATGTGATCAGTTATTAATCTCAGTGTTACTGAGCTCTGCTAAAGCCTGAGTAGACTGATAAATCAATGTGATCAGTTATTAATCTCAGTGTTACTGAGCTCTGCTAAAGCCTGAGTAGACTGATAAATCAATGTGATCAGTAATTAATCTCGACTTTAGCTGTTGGACGGCTCCACGCTAAGCGCAGTGTGTTACTGAGCTCTGCTAAAGCCTGAGTAGACTGATAAATTAATGTGATCAGTCACACAGTTAAAATCTCAGTGTTAGTGAGCTCTTTTCAGGGATGATCAAACTAATAATCTCCTCTGTAGTGGACATGTTTTGCGAATGATAAGCTTAGCATCTGTATTGTACTAGACTCCTGCTTGGAGGGATTATGGGCACAGCAGTGGACTGAAGCAGGTGATAAGAGAGAGTGGCTAGTTGTAGCAGTCGCTAAAAAGTCTGGTAAATCGATGCAAAACCAATCCATTCTGTATATTTCTAAGCTGTTCGAAACAGACATCAAAATAAATGCGTTTAGTGAAAAGAGGCTGTCAAACAATGCAAAATTACTTTTGACCATAACGTGAGTACATTTTTGACGTATATGTGCTTTAAAAAAACTTTGATAAAGGTTGTTTTGAATGTATATTGGAGGAATCGAGACTTCACTCATTGTTTACTTTTGGAGGTTTAGTTGTAACAGTGCGTTTAAAGTAACCCCACCGTGTGGAGGCTGTACTTTAGCCTGGCTGGCTCTCGCTGTGACTTTTTTATATATTTCAAAATAGAGCTATATTACAGCCACTGAGGCGGCAGTTAAAATAATATGAGTGAATTCTGTGACTTATATATACAGCACAGTTGAAGAGCACTTCTGATCAAAAAAGCAATTCTATGGTATAAAACACTCTTCAAGGTGAAATCCTGAGAAATATATGTACAATAGTCACTTGTCACTTGAACCTGTTTACAGATTGTACAATGCATTTCGCACACCTCTTTGCAGAAACATGCAGCTCAGCAAAACAGTTCATTTCATGCCCAAAATGCTCTACAGCTATAAAACACTGCAGAAATATTTCAAAATAAATTCATTTAATCAAAAACACCAACACTGTTGTTCTTATTGCACGAATGCTTTGTCAGTCAGTGCACACTCACCTCACTAACTTCACTAACATCTGTCGGCATTAGGCTAGATCACTATTTTTATGTAAATCTATGAAGCAGTAAAGAGTTATTTGCATTGTAGTTTTTTATATCATAATTAATTTATTATTCATTGACTGATCTTTTAAACAACACTGTAAACAGTGGAAAAGGGCAGAAGTTGATTTGAAGTGTTTTGAGGTTTGAATGGATGTAAATGTTAATTTTGTTCATCTAAACTAAAAATTTGCCTTGTACTGTTTCACTGAATGTGTTTATTTGAGTTAAAACAGTTTGTTGATTGTTACTACATTAAATATGTTTTAGGTCAAATTGACAAACCATTTTTTTAATCTGTGAAAAAACTCATTACATCAGAAAAACATTACAAAACAGATAAATCCAGTGCTTTACATTATGTAGCAAAGGAAAAGGTCATGCATATTGTAAGTGGGACCTGATCTGCATCATAATGTCCTCTCTTGCTAACACGTACACAATTGTGCACTTGCTTATTATGTGCTGGGCCCATAATGGACTGCCTATTGTGAACAAAACATCTCAGAAGTGACCCTTTTTTGTAGATGGTCAGCACACGGGTAGGACTACAGCTCAGATGGGCATCAGTTGTGACTGGCCTATTTACATACATTCTTAATAATTTGGCCACAGAAATACAGTTTTCTTAAATGCTGAGACTGAGTGAGAAATAAATTAAAGAATTTTGGAAATTGTGGTCACTGAACGCATTGTTTATTGAAGCATGCAAAAAGCATCCATTGTTTGGTCCAAACAGAATATTGATGTGCTGTGTGAAGAGTTTTGATGAGAACTTATATGGAGTTAAATCAGTGTCACCAGAACCTGAATTCAAATTCATGATTCTGAACCTGAATTTGTGATTTTGAACCTGAATTCATGATTCTGAACCTGAATTTGTGATTTTGAACCTGAATTCGTGACACTAAATCTGAATTCCTGTTGCTTTTTCAGGTTGTAAAATTCAAGTAAAAAAAATCAGGGAAACATCCGGGGTACTCGGGAAGACCAATAAGCATAGATGTAATCGACCTCACACCTGGCCAATCACTAAACATCTCTGGGAGGAGTACATCTGATGCTTGATTTGTATTTTTCAACCTGAATTTTACAACCTGAATTTCTCAACTTGAATTTTACAACCTGAATTTTACAACCTGAATTTCCAGACCTGAATTTTACAACCTGAATTTTACAACCTGAGTTTCTCAACCTGAATTTTACAACCTGAATTTTACAACCTGAATTTTACAACCTGAATTTTACAACCTGAATTTCCAGACCTGAATTTTACAACCTGAATTTCCAGACCTGAATTTTACAACCTGAATTTTACAACCTGAGTTTCTCAACCTGAATTTCTCAACCTGAATTCTACAACCTGAATTTCCAGACCTGAATTTTACCACCTGAATTTTACAACCTGAATTTCTCAACCTGAATTTCCAGACCTGAATTTTACCACCTGAATTTCTACGACCTGAATTGTACAACCTGAATTTTACAACCTGAATTTCTCAACTTGAAAAAGCATCAGGAATTCAGTATCAGCATCACAAATTCAGGTTCAGAATGATGAATTCAGGTTCAGGTTCTGGTGACACTGATTTAACTCCATTAACTCAGTACTGAAAATACTGGCAATTGCAAAAACCTAACTCCTTAAAATATTCATTATATTTTACCCCACACTAGTTCGTGCCCTACTAACAGGACATCAGCAGTGTAGAGAAAAGTATTAGACAGCTTGCTGTCTTTATGTATGCTCTGTTTTCGTAAGCTGCCTAATGCACCTCTTCAGCTTTATCCTTTGGATGTGAGAGTGTTTGAGGAACCTCAGTCCCACTGGAGTCACTGCTGTGAAGAAAGCTGCTTTACGAATGTTGAAAAGTGGAGTCCAGAGGAGCACTGCAGAACAGAAACCATCTATCTTTCTGAAAGGAGTGTGCTACTGCAACAGCTGTTGAGTCAGACAGTTGAATTTGCAGTAACCAAAGTGG